GCTTTCAAGATATGCATTATTTGTATTCTTAATACAAGTGGAGAAAAAAAAATTAAGAGATAAAAATTGTTTTAAAATGATAAGTGTAATAATTATAAATAAATATAATAAACAATATGAATTATATTTATCATTATTCACAAATATAACTACTTTTAAATTCAAATTAACATACTGGATAATAAAGATATTCGGTATAACATTAAAAAAAATTTTTTATACACTTGTATCAAGTTTGTATTTATACAACATAACTTGTAAGTTCCTTATAAATATTAGTTATATGTTCCTTATATGTCAAAAATGCATAGTAATAAACTTTTAATTTTCTTAAGTATCAAAAAGAAAAAAAAATTTTTTTTAAATATAAATATTTAAACAATTTTTGTGCAAAATTTTTCTGCACATGCATTTGAGTATAAATTTCTGAGATTTTAAATCTGTTATTTTACCTTAATTTTAATAAAAAAATATTTTAAAACCTGCTGATTACCTATAGTATAATTAAATTTCAATATAATGCATGGCAACTGTTGGTAGTTTTGAAGTTAATATATTTTCTTGGCAAACTTCAGTTTTTGACATTTTTGACGGTTTAAACCAGTATTATACCCCTGCCATGTCAAAAACCACTTTTTGACGTCAAAAACCCAACCCTGTCCAGGACTATAGCAATCTTGGTAGACCCAGTTGCACAGGCAAAAGAGACCCCAGATTGGAGTCCTCCGGTTGGATCCCCCTCTCCAGCTCGGCTATCCCCACTAGGGGGGACCACTCCGCTGGATTGGGCTTTCCTCCCAGGAACAACATCCTCCCTGGGCTTCTTTCCAATTTGGGTTGGCGCATTGGGAGAGGGAGTTGCACCAGACGACCTAGGTCTCTTAGCTCCTCCACTCGCCGCAATGGCCCTCATTTTCCTTAACTTCTTCCTCCGGCTTTTGGACAGTCCAATGGTACCGGACACGCTGTCCCCCGAGTGCCTCTGGGGACCAGAGGAAAGGCCTGAACCTTTGGACGCCTCACCAGCATGCAAAGCAGCGGTATTACCACTGGGCTCACCCGAGGGCTTACCATATGCTACTGGAGACTGTGTAAGACTTTTCGAACAGGAACCTCTGCCTAATTCCTGAACGCATCCCTTGTTAACCGACGCGACGGATGATGCCATATCCAAGGCTTTTCGTTCACTCATCATGTTGTTTGCCTGCCATTCAGTTACCCAGTGAGGGGTATCCAGGGGGCACCACGTGGAGGCGGCAGGCATTACCCCACAAGGCCAACTTCAGTTATGTACTATTGAATGATAGGACCAATTGAACTTGATTACTGATTAATCTTCCTTTGTTTAAATTGAAGAGTCAAACAATATTAGTAAAACATTATACTTTTAAAAACAAATATTCTCTTCTAGTATATTTAATTATCAATATGTTATTAGTTCTATGTTTATTTTACCTCTTAAATATTGTTCAGATAAAATTGTGACATAATTTGAGTAAAAGGGTTTTGGACAGTTAAAGACAGTTTTGGACGTAGGGGTTTTGGACAGAACGGTTTAAACCAGGGTTTAAATTGTAGATTAATCCATTCTGTCCTAAACCTTGCCAACCCTGTCAAAAACGTTTGGTTTTTTGATGAAAACCTCAAGTTTTTTCAAAAATACTTTACATTTTATTTCCTGAGTAATAAATAATGCATGTGAGTAACAGGAAAGTTAAATATTTGGTAACTATTTATAATTTGATTTGTTGCAATGTAAAAAAAAAAAATTAAGTTTTAGATTGTTATTATTTATATTTCTTAAGGATAAGTAGATGGTTATATAAAAAATTTAATTTACTCTGTTAAAAGATCCTTAGATTTTAATAATCATTTTATTCAGTTAGCATTGCAACTTAATATACTGTTTGTTTTTCTTAATTTTAATTTTTATTCAATTTTTGGTTGCTTTTAAATTTGCCAGATTGTTTAGTAACATTATGTAAAGTTTATTCCAAATAACAGGTTTGGTTAGAAATAATTTTGTGTAAAGCTCTTCATAAAAGTAAATATAACACATTTACTGTTTAGTAATAATTTTTAAATTGTTAAGTTACATACCTTTTTCAATATGTTTTTCATAAAAATTTTAAATATTTTTTTACAAAGCATTACCTGATAAGGTGATATTACCAGATTTTTTTATAATGAAAGAATACCACCATCAGTTTTAGACTGTTAATTTTTCTATAAAAATAAAATAGCAAATAATAATAATAGTGGAGAATAATATTAATAAGAATGATAGAGGATGATAAAGAAATATTACTAGTAAATATCTATTAAAGATGAAAAAATAAATTATTTATCAACATTTGTTAATTAAGAAACCTCTTTAATTTTCTGGCCATCCATTGGAATGTGTTGATACCTTTGGAAAATCGTTTTAGATCCTTTTATTTATGTGTTTCATCGAGAGCTAATAAATAACATATTGGTTTGAAAATTATAAATCTTCTCAAACATAATTGTATTTTTATTCCATTAAAATTTTCAGAAAAGGATTTATTGCTATGAATTTTAAAAAAATATTATTTTCATGCATAGCTGTAATTAAACTTTTTGGTATTAATTCTTTTAATATAAATGAAACATTTCATTAACAGAAAAAAAAAGAATTATTTTTGTAACTGAATATTTGGCAAGATTAGATTCAATGAAATCATTAAAAATGGAATACGGATTAGTTTCATAGATGACGTTAACCTTTTATATTCTGAAAATGTTTTTAAAAAAACCAATCCAGATTTGCAAAAATTGACTGCTACTTCTTTGGCCAGCCCTGTTAATTAAAATGTTATATCAGGGCTTACATTATAAGGGGTCTGTCCAGACATTTTGTAAAAGATCCCGTTTTTGTAAAATTGTGAAAAAACTATTAATAATTTGTGAATATAAAATAAGCATTAAGTCAAATAGTGTCCTGTTATTGCAAAAAATTGCAGATAACTTTTTCAAGAAGTTAAATAGATACAAGATTCTGCTCAACAATTGCTGCTACTAAATTAAAGAAGCAGCATACACATATTTGGTATTTAACCTATACTGCTCAACACAGAATATTCATTTTGGACGAATAATGGAAACAAAATCACTCACATTTTTAATAATTTCAATTGACATATTTTAAATAATATAACTTAGTAAAGTATCACTTTTAATGTGTTATGCATTAAGTAAACTTAAACAATTCTTAAATTTATAATATTTGATTTAAAAAAAACTACCCGAAATTAATTTTTATTTACATAATATTCTATTAATTAATTTTATGAATAAATATGAATTGATAAATTATTTATTTACAAGAAAAAAATATGATTTAATATTAATAAGAATGTGCAAACGATGTATGTAAAAGTAGAAATATTTTCTTGGAATACTAGTACATTTGGAATTTGAACTTAGGGAAACTTAGTTTGTCTTGAACTGTCTCTCCCTCCCCCCGGATTTATTCGATTAACTAAAGGATAATGAAGATAAACAAATTTGTGTAGGATCTGATTTAAAGATAAATTATTTTGTGAAGGGTCCGTTTTTATGAAAAGATATTTTGTGAGGGGTCTGTTAACGGACCAAAATTTCTTCTAAACAGACCCCTGATTATAATAAAATTGTTTTTTATTATTTATTTAATTTATTGATTTTTATTTTTAAGAAAGGTAAATAATTGCTTTTTCACTGGTTGTATATGTATATTCAATGATAAACAATCATACCTACTATTTTTAAAATCCTTAATTTTACAAAAAAAGTCCTTTTTTATTTTCTTTAAGTCCTTAAAAGTTCTTAATTTTTGCTTTGTTAAAAGAGTTGGAATGCTGTAAAGTTTATTTTCCAAAAATAATTTTTTATTCAGAAAAAAAGCTACAATTTAAAAAAAAAAAAAAGCTTCAATTTTAGGGGATATTCGATATTTGATTTGAAAAAAAATCTCTTCACTTGGCTCTGAGAATTTTCTGCATTCCTTATGTGTACATGAATATTTCCAATATTAGTAAAATAATGTTAACTTTATTAATATATAATTAGTTTACTGATTGATGAACTAATAATTTATAAAGAAATATTAATAAATTAATAATTTTTTCAATCAATCAGTTCAAGGGTTTAACTAAATTACTATTAATATTTAGTAGAGTTATTAAAATAAATTTCCTAGTTACATGATTTTATTATGTTTAGCTTTAGTACCTCTTACTCTCTAGACTATACAGCTCAGCATCAACCGAAAGAATAGTTTCAAATTTTTGTCTTATTCATACAAAACTGAAAAATGAACTTTAAATACAAAAGGTTTCAATCTTTAATTTTTTTATTTTATGAATTGCATGCTTTAGGAAAGGAGGAGTGAAAATGAGAGGAACTGAAAGTTGATTTTACATTTAATCAATATGATGATTGTTTTTGTATTTTTATTTTCAATAATTTTATAAGTATTTAATATTTTCTGCACCAAAGTTTGATGGTAATTGTCAAATCAAAACGATGGTTTAATCCCAAAATAATTCAAGAGCATAATTGGTTGATCACTTATAATTCTATGTGTGTTCATTTATAAATACTTATTTATAATAGCTAATAATTTTCCTTACAACAAAATTTAGAGTTTTTGACACTTTCCAAAAACTATGGCAAAAAGGTTTTTTTGACATGTTGGATAAAATCGTCAATTGTTAAAAACTTGGCAACCCTGCCAAAACTACATCATCAAGACAGTCAAATACATCTGATTCATCATATGATGAATAGTGTCACCTTTATTTATTGCCTTTATTTCCTTCAAGAGAAAGGCTGCAACATAGGGTAATTCTTTCATTTGTTAGGCAGGTAGATATTTTTAAGGATGTTTCTTTGTCTGATTTAAAATTACAATTGATCATTTGATATAAGAATCAATGTCAAACAGAAATATTATCAATTTAGTGTTGTTTTATCTTGTAATGAATTGATTGTGCTATGACAGTAAAATTTTTTTATTTTATTAGGTTGATGATGAAGAAGCTGGGATAATATTAGAGATTCCTGGTGATCCACTGTGCCCTGTAAAAACACTCAGGTTTTATTTAAGCCGTTTGAATCCAGCCTGCCGAGCCTTATTTCAACGACCCAAAGAACACATATACGAGCAGGACACGTGTTGGTATGTTAATTCTCCCGTTGGTAAGAATATGCTAGCTACTATGATGTCCACTATCTCCAAGTGTGCTAGACTCAGCCGTGTTTATACAAATGTCCGCATCCGAGCCACAACCTATTCACCTGCAGATGGCAAAGGCTGCATCCCTTGTACAGACATGGCTGAGCAACCGAATGAAAGGAATAACGGTGAAGTCGTTGAGAACAATAAGATTGAAATAATCCCAAAGTCTTTACCTCAGAACTCTCATATTATCAAACAGCTAAATGCCCCCATTGTTCAGGCCGCATCTCTCTTGTCTGTAGCTGTCTCAAAACCTCTGAGTACGGTCACAAATGCAACTGCTCCAAGTGGTTCACTCATCAACAGAGTTTTTCCCATTGCCCTTACAAATGCTCAAAAGAATGAAATACTCAATGGTCAGCTTGTAAATAACAAACCAACAGCGGAGGAAGTATGTATACCTTAAGTATTGTTTATTTTGCTTATTCCATCATCTCTCAAGTGCTATTTAGTTTTTCGATCTTGATCTTAGTTAGATTAGTTCTGTCATAGAAACGAGCAAGCTTTCACACTATTCGAGCTTATTTTACACAGTGTAATTTACAAGATGATACATAAATAACATTTTTGATGTTATATTTCATTATTTTGAACATCATTTTTTTTAATAAAAAAAAAAATTATATATAATAATGAAATTTAAATATAGTCAATCACCCCATGGCAGAATCGCAGCGACACGGCAACATTGTCGCAGAAGGTTACAGAGTTCTTGCAGAAAGATTTTTCCTCTAGAAAGTAAAATTTTTGTTTTCTTTTCTGCAAAAATTTTCAAAATTTTTTTCTCTAAAATTATATACATGAAAGATGCTTTTTTCGCGCGCATCGGAGGGGAATGAAATGTTCAAAATTTTTCGATTCCTATTTGAGAAAAATAAAAAAATATTGAAGCAAAAAATTTGTTTTCTTCAGAAATGTTTGAAAGATTTTTTCCTCCACAATTATATTCAATAGATGTCTTTTTTACGCATCAGATCAGAGGGGAAGAAGTACTCGTGATTTTTTTAATTCTTATTCGTAAAAAAAAAATTTTTGCTTTTCTTTTCTTTCACGGATTTTACGATTTTTAATTATTTTTTTGAATGTGATGATGATTTACAAAATGCGAAAAAAGAAATGATTAGTATGTTTTCCACTTACAAAATATAAGAATATAGCCCATGATATTAGAATAAAAAAATATTACATATTCATTTAAAAAAAATACATACAATTTTATTACATCCAAATAGTCTTTTTTTTTGTAAATAAAACATTTCTGTTACTTTAAATTTAAAAATTTAATTAATAACATGTATATGAATTATTATGAATAGTTTCTTGCAGAACAATATTAGATTTGTTGCAGAAAGCCCAAAAAAATTCTGCCACAGGGGTCAATCAAACCTAAAGTCATGACAGTTTACAGTGATAGCCCTAAAATTCCAAAATTTATGTGTTTTCAAAACAAAATTTTAATATTTAGTTTTAACATTTTTATTTTTCAAATATTTATTTTGCGAAGCAGTTTCTGCAATTATTTATTTTGCTAAGTGTTGTGAAATTATTTCTGGTGCATGTAATCAATGTAGGTTTTGCTTAGAGGAAGGAGTTTCTAAAATTGTTATTTTCTCCCTTTGGTTGTATTAAATTTTAGTAGTAAAACTTAACAAAATATTTATACTTTTATAGATGATCTGACTGATTAGTATTTTTTATTAAGTCACGGTTCAAATGAGTCACCATATTGATAGCAAGCGAAGTTTTTTTTTTTTTTAAAAAAAATAATATCCACAGCAATCTTTAGGGGTTAGCGAGTGTACTAATAATCATGATTTTAACATAGAAAATAAAGCTTTCTTTCACAATGTAACTGGCAAGCTTTCCTTTTAAGGTATTTGAGAGTGAAAAAAAGGCTTTATTGTAGATTTGAACATAGTGTATTAATGGACTTTGCCGTAAAAACGTTCTAGTATACTACAGTTATACTCTAATAACCAAAATTTAAGGAACTTTACAGTTTAGCTTGTAAAGCAGGTTTGTCCGTAAAATTATACTGTAAATGGATGTTAAATTGCATATTTTTATTACAATATGTGGTACAAGTGAATTGGTTTAATAAAATAAAAAACTATGTCTCGTTCAAATGATTATCCAAAGGAATAGTTGTTAAGTCTCATTAGATTATAAATTATACAAAAATATTGATTTTAAATCTGTTTGATCAGCAGCATATACGTTTATTTTTCGCATTAATTTCAACAAAAAGCATAATTCAGCTTGTTTTTATTTCATTTTCAGCTTATACACGAAAAAACTAATGCTGAACTACACTGGATATCGCTCCAGACCTGCAAATTCAATTGTCTGACGTAAGATTTAATTTTAAGGCTATTACTGATAAAACGAGGAAAACATTTCTTTCTTCAGATTTAATATTTTCAAAATAGTTAATAGTACATTTGGTTAAGACTTTCATAATTGCTATTGAATTTTATTAAATTGCACTGTTCCGTTAAATTTAGATTCCGTAAGGTTAGGGTCATTGATCCGATTTAAAAAGTGTGGTGTTTTTTAAAATTTTACTTTCATATTATTTCAAACGTTCATATAATCCGTGTTTTAAGTTAGTTTTGCTCTGAGAACACTCGATTTTATAAAGTGGTTGGTTTTTTAAGAAAAAATATGTATACACTTAGGGGGGAAAGAACATTTGAAATTTAATTTTTACTAAATTTGCATTTTAATTAAACATATGCAATAATTTTCAGTTTTCAAGATATAAATGTATTTACTTGATTAGCAAAATTTTGATATTCAACCTGGCTTTAAAGTTCTTGTAACTATCATCATTTCTTTTTTTTCTTTTTTTTTTNATTTTAAATATCTTGATGCCAACAATAAGGCTTTCACAAATCTAAATAATTAATAATAGCAGCATAATTAATAATAGCAAATACTTCATTATTCGGCTGGGCCGAATAGTGGCGAATATTCGTTACATCCCTAGTTATTAACAATAATTACCAAGTAGATCAGTTAAAATGTATCAGAATTTATCACATTTACGGAGTATTATTAATAATTACTGCTGAAGTTTGGTCATTGCAATAATTTTCTATACATTTGGCTGGAAATTCCCAATACGTATGCATAATCATTATTTCCTGCACCATGATGTGTTTCGAATTTTATGTAAGTTATTAAATCTGTATTTGTGGAACGATATTAAAATTTTTGAACTTAAGATTTCAAAAAATCATCAAAATCCATTTTTCTCGCAATTCTTTTTTTTCTTTTCTTTCTTTTTCTTTTTTTTTTTTTTTTTTTTTTTTTTTTTCCTTCTTTCTTAACTTTACTGACCTGTACAATAACAGATTTATTATAACACATGGGCATATAAAAATTTCTTTAGAGTTGAAGTCTCAATAAATTATGACTAAGTAATCACATTGACAAATTATTAATAACATGGTACATAGCATTTTTAAAAAGTGCTTAAAGGTACTTATTTTCGTTTTTTAAAAAGCCCTTAAGGATTCTTTTTTCATTGGAGATTTATAAAAAGTGCTTAGTATCCTCTTTTCGAAAATGAGATTTTTTTCTTTACCATGTGGATTTTCGCTGCATATTATGCAAAAGTGTGGTTTTCACATTGTTCTATTCAACTTTTTTACAATCCAATCAACCGCAATGCATTTCAGCATGCCGTCGGTCAGTAACGTATGCAATCACCAATCATTTTACCTGTTTGATTAAATATTTGTGAGTCTGCATGTGCATCTACAGAAATGGGTTTGGTGATATTCTATCACTCTCATATGCAACTTTGCTGCATTTTGCAAGATATTCTTAATTTCAGGCTTCATTTTCCACACTCTAAAGTCAAACCAAAAAATCTTTCCTTTTTTTTTTTTTTTTTTTTTTTTTTTTTTTTTTTTTTGGTGGCTAATATATATAAACAAGAAAAAGAGTTCTTAGTCAGAAACTAATTGTTTTATCATTATCTTATAAAGTCTTGGGAAATTATTTTGCCTTTTGTTAATGTATATAATGCTTTTTTATTTATTTATTTTTTTAGTAGTTTTAAGGGGAGTCAGTAGGACACCTGAAATAATGCTGGAACTGACCTTTTTAAATGAGGAAAGAAACTACTTTTTCTAAGAAACTACTTATGATACCGGTTTAAAAATTTGGTGGGATATTTGAGATTATATCATATCAGTTGTATGATATAATGTTTTAGCGTTTACTGGAATACTTTTTGAGTTATGAAAGATTTTTGCTCAAAAATGATGAAAATTTAAAAAAAAATTAATTAACAGTTCTCAATTCATAATTTTTTTAAACTTTTGTATTAACAGTATATATGTTAACAGTTGTCACAGTTTAAGCATGTATATGTAAATATTCTGTCGAAAAAACTGAAGCAATATCTTGTTTAGATGCTGAGAAAAGGTACATCAAAAAAGGTCAGTTTAGCATTATTGGTATATGCTCTACCGACTCCCCTTAAAAGATGCTTATTTTTCGTTGAAAGATCTGACTACACACCCTGAATAATAACCAATTAATGTGCATAGTTTGTCATATTTACCAACATGGTTAATAATAATAACTTGATTTATTACTTTAACCTATAAAATGTTTTGTTAGATACCTCCTTCATCTTCTCGTAACTGTGATTGGTGTAAAAAGGATTTAAGTTCTGGAGGAATGGTGCTGAAATCAAGTGAGGCTGGAAAAGAGTATTGTTCTACAGAATGTTTGGGAAAATGCTTGGCGAGAGAGCACAAAGATGAGTTGACTCCCCCTGCTGATGCTGAAAAGGAGAATGGTAGTGCTGCTACGCTTGATGCCAACCCTAATCCAAAAATCCAAAAACTACTTACGTTGTGTTCGTCTGCTAATCTACTCATACCTTTTCCTTCCATCTGTAAAGAATATGCAAGTTAGTAATATTACTCTTTTTTTTCTTCTTTAATTTTATCTTAAAATTNTTTTTTTGATCATAAATTAAAGCTCTTATAGTGTATTTAAATAAAAATCAAAAAAATCAGATTTAAATCAAAATAATCCGATTTTTTTGAATTTTTTTAAAAAAATCAAAAAAATCACGAACCCTGCATTGTCGCAGAACGAGTTTCTGCAGAAAGATTTTTCATTTGAGAAGGAACAATTTTTGGTTTCCCTTTCTGAAAAATTTTTCGGAAAATTTTTCTTTTTTCTGCAGAATTTGTTTTTAAAGAAGTCTTTCTTCCACATCAGAAAGGAAAGAAATCTATAATTTTTCTATTCTCATTTGAGATTTTAAAATATCGGTACTGACTGGCTTCAGCTAGAATTTCAAAGTATTAATATAAAATAAAAAATTCAAAAATCACAATAAAAAATTTTACATACACTTATATATGAGTATCTATCTATTTGTGTGATTCATGATCTTTATTATGGGAGTTACTGCACAGATTTTGCGATTTTTAATTTATACACAAATTTTAATTTCTTATTGTTTAATTTATGCACGAATTTTAATATGCAATGATTTACAAAATTTGAAAGAGGAAATAATTAGTTCATTTTTCCACCTGCAAACTGCAAGAATATCTCCTCTAATATTAGAATTTAAAAAAATATTACTCTTAGAGTTAAAAAATTTTCTGTGAACTTATATACTTTCTTCTGTGAACACAACATTTCTGTTATTTTTAATTAGTAATTGTTATAACCAGGGTTGGAGTTTTTGCCGGCAAAAAGGGGTTTTTGCCATTACAGTGGCAAAAACCAAATTATCTAAATTGCTGATTAAATATTATTACAAAATACTTGAAACAAATTTAAATCAATCATAAGGAATAATAATTTTGATACATTATATGAAAAAATTATTTTTAACATATTAATCTAAGGGTAATAATTTTTAAAAGATTGAAAGTTTTTGATCTCTTTTCATTTTAGAATCCTTAAATAAATGTTTTTTTACAAATAAATAAATATTATTTGTATATTATTATTTATTATAAAAAATTATTATTTGTACAATAATTAACTACACATGATGATAGATATTTCATGCTTTAAATTATAGTTATATTAATTTAAAATTAGTTCATTTCACTGGAAAAAAAGAGAATAATCACAAATTTTCCAATCAATAATGTTTTAAACTACTAAAATGATATGTTATTACATTATCATTTAATTATGGAATAATAATTTTGTTAATTTTTTTGTAATTATTTATATTTATAGTATATATTTCAATTTTAGGAATAATTTTGTATCAAAAATGTGTTTTTATCCTCTCATCGTGGAAAATATAGGTTTTTGCCAGGACGGTTTTTACCGGTATTTACCATGGTTTTTTCCACCTGCGGCAAAATCTTGCCAACCCTGGTTATAACTAGTAAAAGTATCTTAAAGCAAAATATTAGTGCTAGGGAAGTTTGTCGCAGAAAGTCTGAAATAATTCTGCCACGGTGTTGGTTAAAATTTCAGTATAATTAGAGCAAGTATGTGTTGTACCATTGTATTAGCACTACTTGTGTCTTTTTATAAAGTTACAGTGAAACTTCCAGTGAGGACCACCTCTATTAACGACCACTTTTAGGAGGCGCAGAATTTTTCCCATAGATTTTGTGATGAAGAAAACATTTACAGGGTTGCCACAGGTGACTAAAATGCTACTATTTTTGGCATAAGGCGACTATGGCAACTTTTTTTGCCTGAAAAGGCTAAAAAAGCAACTATTTTCAGAAAAAGGAGACTATTGGGAGACTTTTCTAAACTCCCAGCGACGTTTTTTTTTATTATTTATTTATTTATTTATTTTTTTTAGCATAAATTGAGTGGAAAATTTGCACCCCACAAGATAGTTTCTGAACACACTGAACTTTTTTTTTTCATAAAAAATAAAAATTTTGAAAATTTTGAATTGCAAATTTGAGTCTTCACTTTTTAATTCGTTCAATCTGCACAGACTCCATTCTAAGTCTATTTCATTTCTCGAGCGCCTTTTCAATGATTATTGCTACGAAATTCCCCACGAAAAAACTTAATCAGATATTACGATGCGTGAATTTCGAATTTGAGTAATCACTTTTCACATATATAAACATTTACGCTTATATAAACTTATCATATTTGCCACCTACTTGACTGAATGGATCATGACAATTAAGATCATGTATGACAATGAATCATGTATGACAATTAAGTCATTAACAAAATTTTAGTCATATTTTTGATGAATTTTTGTTTTTATTTAGGCAACTATTTTCCTAGTTTTTGGCTACTATTTTCATGTTTTAGGCTACTAAAAGCAACTATTTTGTTCATTTTTTTCTGTGGCAGCCCTGCATTTAGGAGAAACCATTAAAACATCTCCCAGCGACTGGAAAAGCATCTGCACCAAATGCGGGAAAGGTCAAATAAGGAAACATGAAAGAATATCAAAACAAATAAGTAGATCAAAATGTTTGTGTGAGGCTCTTATTTAGAGAGCTCTTTTCGACGATACAACCTCATGTTGCAGTCAGAGTGCACTAAAGACAGTGCTATTAGTGATTTACTTTTAGAGTTGAAAGTTAAATTAGAAAGGAAAAAAAAAAAAAAATTTTCGAAAAAACAAGTGTCTCAAATAACCTAACCTCTTCTCACCTTTTGAAGCTAACTAATTTTTATGATATAAAATTAAATGCGAACTTAAAGTAAAAACGTAATTGTTTTTTTTTTTTAAATAGCTTAATCATTCATAATTAGTAAATTTGTTTTTACGCATAATTATATCAGTTTAAATCATTTTCATATGCTCTAAATTTTATTCATTGATACGTCTTTTCATGATGCCAACAAAAATGGCATTATCCCACCAAAAGAATGACACGGACTAAAATTAAAACCATTTGTGAAAAATCATGTACCTTTGATAACAATTTTGAATTGAAGTCAATGGAGGTAACCTCTAAGAATGACCAGCCACCATCAACGACCATTTTACTGTGGAAAAGAGAGTGGTCGCTCCCGAGAGGTTTCAATGTATTAAATAAGTTGGTGTCTGTAAACTGAATAAAAAAAAAAGAAATATATGTAGTGTACAGGGTTTGCCAAGATGGCCAAGCCCAAAAAAGCCAGTAGATTTTTTTAGGTTGGGCCAAAAAAAGATGGGAAATTTTTTTTTTTTACATTTATCATTTCCAAACAATTTTCTTTACAGTTATCAAATAAAGTTTTTCAACGAAATTATAAACTTATTATTTGATAAATTTAACTTAACTTTTTATCCAAAATTAAATGAAGTAAAATCAGAAATCTAAATTTTTTTTAAACAAGCTTTAATATAAATAAATTAAATATGTGATTTAAAAAAAAAGTATCAATGATTAAAAATAACATATTATAATATGATACTTATTTAGAAAACAAATTATGAGCAATGTACATTTGTTACTGTGGATGACCGAATTCAAGAGAATGTCGACTCTCATCGGTGAATGTCAATAATCGCATAGTTGCTTTGTTGAATGTCAGAAATATTTGTTAATCTGCTGAGGATAGATTAGAAGAAATATCAGTATTCCAAGTGTCAACTAAATGCATACTGGGCACTTAACCTAAAAAAAATTATGTAGGGCATAGCGGGCAAATGTGTACTGAGTAGTGGCACTGAACCTTCAGAGTAGAAAATACCAGCAAGTGTGTATCGGGCAATGACTCATAACCAGATCTAGTATACATTTTGGATATTTACCAAAGCCAGACGTTGTGATTGTCAACATTCACCAGTAAAAGTGAACAACCACTAATTTCAGTGAGTCACAGTAACACGTTCAACATACAAACTCTGTTAACCTGATTGGAAGGCGAATGCTCTATCCCCTGAGCCATTACAACTCTCTAAAGTATAATTGTTTTTGTACTTCTTATAGCCAGGATTTGTATTTAGATAGATCAGTAAGAGAGAGGATGAATTTATTTTTCTAGCATTATTTTCTTGGGGCTAATGTTTTATTCTGCAGATTAGATTAATTGCAAGGTTATTCAGAAGGTGATTATGATTTTAAATTATCCATGTGCCCAATAATTATCCCACCTATTTGAAACTTTGGGGGTAGTTCTAATGTTTAAAACCAAAGTAAATTTAAATATAAAAAAAATTACACCATTTTTAGGTAAAATAAAAAGCGTAAAAAATTAACAAGTGAGGTAAGAGGTTCCTTCTTGATCATGTTTAATAATCCATTTTTAAAATGACCAGTATAATGAGTAAGCACTTTATAAAATGTTTTTATTTTAAGAATTGAACAGCAAATCGCAATTGATTAAACGTAGATGGATGTCAGTAATAGTTTCTAGAATTCCTACCCACATTTTAACTGTCTAGAAAATTTCTATTGAAAAAAAAGAAAGAAATTAGGTGATCGTTATTTATCATAAAAATATGATGATCAGGAATTACTCTTTATCATCATCATCAATGTCTCGACATCCCAGGGTAGGCCTTGACCTTCTCTAGAATTTTTTTTCCAGGCGAACCTTTTTCTTGCTAGCTTTTTTTAGTTTTTAAGACCGAAAGGTCTTTTTCTAGGCCATCTATCCATCTCAAAATATGCCTGCCTCTTTTTTGTGTGCCAACTGGTCTGGCATTCAAAACTCTTTTTGTGGAGCGGTCTTTATCCATTCTGATGACGTCACCTGCCCATTTTATTCTTTGTCGTTTAATGAAGTGATAGAGCTCTAAATTTATTCTTCTACGAGGAATTACTATTAAGTAACACAAATATTAATTTGATTGAAATGTTAAAACTGTCTCTTTTAAGAATTTTAAAAGGTAATGTCTTTGTAGCTCCTGCTGCTGCTCTTCCTGAAAATGAAACAATTACAAATGGTGATGTGAAAGAAGAATCAAGAAGTTCTTCTCCTCTACTTATTGTACCTGATGAAGTAAGCACTCCTCTTTCATTCTCTATCAAGGGTGCCACTCTTCAGTCTTGAGAAAGAATCAATCGACTAAATTTCATGAATTAATATACTATTTTTCTTAAAAATATAGTAAATATTTTCTGTTAAAAATAAAATAATCAAGTAATGATGTCACACCAAAATGAAAAAAATGGGATTGATAAAATAAAAGTCGAACATAAAAGTTATGCAAAAAATGAGGGTCTATAAACAACGCTTCATTGCCTGCTTGCTTACACAAAATGTGTACTATTGTTGTGTCTAAATTTGATTCAGTTTTCATTTTACCCCCAATATTTTGAAATGCTGACCAAAGTTAAAATAAGGGTGAAGCAATAGAGATATGAATAGCATCATGAAAAAATTAGTTTATTATTCAGTGATTGGTGTAAAAAGATTTTTAGATTTAGCTGTTATTTTTTATCTTGATTGCTGTAAAAAAAATAATAATTAATAAAATAAAAAAGTTCTAAAAAAAAATCAAATCCTTGATTTAATGTATGTGCCATTATCATAAAAAGAAACTTTTTTTTTTCTCTTTTTTTTTCCATATAACATAATGCCAAGTAGAAAATTTACATTAATAACTTCTTGGTTGTAATTAATTGCAGCACTTTCAAATTTCTACATTAGTCATTGAAAATTCCCTCATTATAAACCTCATGAAACCCTTTGAGATTATTGTACTCTCATGTGAACTCTGCTGCATTTCATGTGCAACTACATTCATACTGCGAGATATTTTCAATTTCAGGCTTCATTTTTCCACCCTCTGAAATTAAACTGAAAAGCGACCTTTTTATAGTGGCTAATAAATAATCAGGAAAAGATTTCTTTTGTAAAAAGTGCTTAATTTTCTGTCTTTTAAAAGAGATTTTTTCTTTGCCTTGTCGATTGCCATTCTAAATTACAAAATATGCACTAGTTATTTTATCATGATTGTGTAAAGTTTTTGAATTTTTTTTGATTTTATGTTTATAAATTGCGAACTTTAAATGATAGAAAGAAATAATTTTCATTACTCCACAGATCCTAATTATGTTTTTTTTTGGCAAAAAATCTGTATATAGTGCTTAAAAAGTACTTTAAAGTTGCTTATTTTTTGTTGAGAGATTTGACTATGCACCCTGACTTCCTATCATAAGCTTTATCCGCTGGTTTTATATCATTCACTTGTAAACAAAATGTCTAATTTTAATATTTGTGACTTAGCATACAGGTATCTGTACTGCCAAAAATGTTTTAACACATGAATTCATAATTTATTTTGTGTTGTCTTAAATGAAGAAAGAAGGTTATGAATTTTAAAATTTTATGGCAGCATTTCTCATTTGTTTAGGGATGTTACACCCAGTGACGCCTTGGTTTTTGCTGCTAATATATAAAAATTAGTCTTAACTCATTCTTAACAAAAATAACTTAGCTAGAACAAAATACTCTCAAATATTAAATCTGTAAAAATCTACTAAAAAAATGCCTCACCACTTTATTTTCTTTGCTGTCATTTGCGTTCTACTCAAATTACATTGTTGCATTTCTTTAGTGATTCAGGTGTTTAATCAATCCTAATTTAAATGCTTGATTGTTCCTTTTATCCTAGTTCTGTTTATCAATAGATATTATGAATGGGAATATTAATAGAAAGAGAAAGAAAATTGATTTAAAATGCCCTTTAAATTTTTGAAAAATAAAGGAATATGGATATATCCGAAGCATGTAAGTAATGAATCTCGAGGATTGGTAGTTTCCAGTCTTGGGGAATAACTGAATTTGAACTTAATATGAGGGATATGTTTTAAAATCGACCATGTCAGCCTTCATCTATCAAAAGGTAACTCAAGATAGAATCAAGTTAACATGTCTTATATAGTAGGGAATTGGTATTTAATATTTATAGTGGTAGTTACAAAACATTACTCCCCTTCCAGAATTTTATCTGAGATAGAATTCGATGAACGATTACCACTATTTGATTTATTCTGTTTTGTTTTCTTTTAAATTTATTTATATATATATTTTTTCCATTTATATAATTTTGCTAATTTTTTTTTAGCTATATTTTAAGTTAATCAACTGTTTAATGTGAACCATCTATCAATGTTGGCTAGTTCATATCACTTCCGCAAACAAGTTAACATGTCTTATATACTAGTGAATTGGTATTTAATATTTGTAGTGGTAGCTACGCCACAACCTANCTATCTGCGTGGCCTAACATCACTCACCATGACTGCTACCCTTTCATATATATTTTTTCCATTTATATCATTTTGCTCATTTTTTTTAGCTATATTTTAAGTTAATCAACTGTTTAATATGAACCATCTATCAATGTTGGCTAGTTCATATCACTTCCGCAGACAAGTTAACATGTCTTATATACTAGTGAATTGGTATTTAATATTTATACTGGCAGTTACGCTACAAATACTCCCTATTGATGACTGAATGAAATGTCTTAATCTTAGGTATATCCAGAAGCTATCTTAGAAACTGTGGACTCAGATCCAGATAATGAAATGGAAAGTGAAGATGTAGAGGAGCAGCATCATCATCATCAGCCTGTTGTTTTGAAAAAATCGACGCGTGATCAAGAAGTGATGTGCCAGCCTACAATGACCTCCTGTGCCATATCATGTAAACCCATTCTCAAAAACCAAGCCATTCAGACAGGTACTTACTTCATTTATCATTTATTCACAATTTTTACTTGATATGACATTTTTGAAAAATACAGCAACTATTTTTGGCATGCAGGGACTATGGCAACTTTTTTTTGCCTGGAAAGGCTTTAAAAATAGGAACTATTTTTTAAAAAAAGGAGACTATTGGAAGACTTTTTTGTACTCTTAGAGATGTTTTTTTAGCATAAATTGGGTTGGAAACCTGCAGTTTGCTGGAGCTTCTGTACACACTGAATTTTTTTTCTTAAAAAAAATATATATTAGTCATCGCTTTTTTATTCGTTCAATTCGCACAGATTCCATTGGTAATTCTAGATCACCTTTTCAATGGTTATTGCTACTAAATTCTGCATGGTTTTAAAAAACCCAATTTTTAATTCGATATTATGATGCGTGAATTTCGAATTTGGGTAAACACTTTTCACATTATGTATATATATGTGTGTGTGTGAAATATTTTTTAGAAAAAAATTTTTTTTTTATGAAAAAGTTTTTTGAATGAATTCTAGTTATTAAAAGTATTTAATTTTCTGAAAATATACTAATCATCATATTTGCCACCAACTTGACTAAATTGATCATGGTATATGACAAGTCACTTAATAAAATTTTGTCATATTTTCAATGAATTTTTGTTCGTATTTAGGCAACTATTTTCATGATTTTGGGCAACTATTTTCATTCTTTAGGGTACTAAAAGCAACTATTGTGTTAATTTTTTTTCTGCGGCAACCCTGTACAAGCATCATTTAAAATAACTTCTAATCTATTGTTTAAATTTTCACGTAAAATCATTTTTGCCAAGTGAAAGTATGTATGTGATATCTTTTTTTATCTAAAAAGTATGGAAACCTGGAAAATATCCTATCTTAGAATTGTCAATAACAGTAATCAGTTATTGAGATTTGAGTTAAATAATTCTAACATATATTGCAAATATCTTATGTAAAAAGTTCACATTTTAGTGAAGTTTTTCTTTTCCATCCTCATTCAATATTTTTTTTTACATACAAAATTGAATATCTCACATGGAATTTTCATTAAAATTTTCCTGATATACCTGGAAAAGTCAGGGAATTAGTATATTTTTTCCCATTATTAAACTGATTTAAAAAGTGTTAAGATTTAAAATACTTTAGTAGAAAAAAACTTTTTTAAATGGTTACCATTTAATAATATAGATTGTGTTCAATGTGAGTAATTATTGATCTTAAAAAAATATTTTTGTAGATGCACATATTGTCTATCTTTTAATGTAAGCAATTCTTCTTGAAGAAACATCTTTCCTTTCTTTTAAGTTTTTTTTTTCCTACTTGACAAATATTTGTGATACAGCATTATTCAATAGCACTATGCCTTTGAAAAAATTATAATTAAAGCCGTCTCTTAATTAGCTGGTGAGAAATTGTGTTTGATAATTTTTAGAAATTCTATGGGGGGTTTTTTCTCCAAAAATGTTAAACATTACATTATACTGTTAATGGTTTTGAGTTATAGTTTAAACTGATAAAAACTAATTTAGAAGATGCTTAAAATTTCTTTTAACGTAAATTATGCAAAAATAAAGACATTTATCTTAAAACACTTAAATACCTTTCAAAAATGCTGATTTTATTAGTATAATTTAGTCAGACAAAATTAATAGAGAATCTAAAATACCACACCCAATATTCTGATGATTGGATGTCATATTTTATATGCTTGGAAAAATACTGCAAAGTAGAATAAATATCCTTTAGCAGATTAGTAGTGTAAATTAAATAAAAAAAAATTAAGAACATTTATAATTTTTCTCCACCGTCACAAGTTTGACAATTGCTCTGCAGCTTTCTACGGCCAGTTCGTCCTCCCTCTCAAAATAATGTACAATAAATGGTCTCATTTCTTAATTTCATTCAATTATTTACAAAAATGATTTAATTAAACAAAACATAGTTCAACTGTAAAGTTACTAAAACTTTTTCTGTTTTGTTATGTTACATTTTTGGCTAAAATAACACATTTTCCAATTTCTTTAAAATCAAAAACAATAATTGTAAGATAAGACATGTTTGTATGACTGTTCTTAGACTAGATTATCTCTATTTTCAGATTTCAGCACCTACTTCTCAGATAGCATATTTGGCAACAGCAGCAGCCTCTTTCCCAAATATGTCCTGAGCAGTTCTTGCTGCAGCAAAGATGAGGATGTTGATACAGCAGATGTTATTGAAGAGTATTCAGTTCTGAATGGTGATTCTTTTGAATGTTTCTCAGATGCTCAAGATACAAGCTCACTTTGGGTAAGTTTCACTTGAAATAAGTAATACCTTGTTTTGTAGCAGAGTTCGTAGCATTTTTAAAAAGTGCTTATTTTTGATTTGCGTTTTTTAAAAGCCCCTAAAGATGCTGTTTTTTATTCGGGGTTTGTAAAAAGTGCTTAATTTTCTATCTTCTAAGAAGATATTTTTTCTTTGCTGTGTCGATTTATTGTTCTCAATTACGAAAAGTGCATGATTTTCATAATTTCCTCTGCAATATTTATCAGAAACTAGTTTTTTTATCATGATTATGTAAAGTTTTTGAAAATGTTTTTGAATTTTATTTTTATAAATTAAGAACTTTGAGTTAAAAAAAAAATAATTTTTATTACTGCACAGATCCTAAATATGAGTTGTTGTTTTTTTTTTTGGAAAGGGATTAAAAAGTACTTAAATAAAAATGCTGAAAAGGTGCTAATTTTTTGTTGAATCTGGCTATGCACCCTGTGTAATTAAAATTCTCTTAACAGTGACATATATTTCAGAAAAATGTACCAAAAAAAGGAAAAAAAAAATTTGACTGTTTAGTTTTGTTCTTTATATTATTATAAAAGTTAGAAAATGGTTTTTAATTACAAAAATAAAATTTTGAATGCAATAACTTCTGTATTTATAACTTTTACTTACACATAAAAAAATAATGGATTACACATACATCTTTTTCAATTATAGCAAATTAAACAAAATTTTGCAGCTATATATAATATAACTAGTGTAATATAATATAAAAACACAATATGATTTCAATACATAAATTTTAGTGAATTGTGCACACAATTTTTGCAAACATTCAAAGTGCCAAAAAATTGTAGCACATTTTTTTATCTGTATTCATTGACCAATCCTGCATTTGGAAATAATTATTATTTGCCTTGAAAAAGTGTTGAGTGAAGGGTTAAGCGAGAACATTTATTTATTTATTTTTCCCTAGAAATAGTTTTTTATTTTCAAGCTATATTACGAAGAGTGCTTCAATAGCATAATATCATAATTTTTAATACATTACTGATTAAAAAATTATGCATAGTTACTTAAAAATGATAAAGTGTTAAATTGCAATACTAGATATAATGGTTCATAAATTGAATGTGTGCAAACTACAATTTTAACAGATGTCTGTGGAGGAATGTGACGAGGAGGAGGTTGAAGAATGCATCCCTTCCCCCATCCCTGTCATTAAAGTTGAAGAGCCTTATATACCCGACCCTCTTGCCAGTGCTTACTCTCAACGTGGGCGTACCACCAAGCGTACTACTTGGGATGAAATTGCACAGAGAAGTAAACTTCAAACACTGTGGGGTGTTAAAGTTTTTAGAGGTTTGTATTCACTTTCTATTGGCTACATTTCCATTGGCAGCATTCAAAGAAATTAAAAGTTAAGCACGGGTGTGCGGAATATGTTCAGCGGTAAATTTTGGTCTAATTAAAGAAGTAAAAAGACTATTATTCATGGAATTTATTTTCTGCCAAGAAAAAAGATTCAAAAATTATCCACCAAAGCAAAATGACCCTGAATAAATACAATACTGTTAAACAAAATAAGACGGAAAGGCATTAGTTTAAAACATGTTTAATCATTTTCTGAAATGTGCTACAAAGCATGTGTAAGGTGGCTTCCACCATTTTCTAAAAGCAAGTTAAATCCTATTACTCATTTTCAACAGCAATTTTTAGCATATCTGGAGGAATGATATGGATATGTCTGTATATTGCATCTTTCAATTCTGCCAAATTGTTTACAACATTATAACTCTCCCAGATGCAATTGTAAGGTAAACTTGATTCCGACCCTTATTTAAAATTTAGATGTATTTAAATTTGTAGAAATTTACTACTAAAGTATTTTGCCACTGGTAAGAAAGGTGGAATATCGAAAAATGATTTGTGTCTGATGTATAAATTGGCGAGAACTTAGACTTAAAAGTTGGGCAGCTCCTAAGAGCTGGGCACATTGACCAGAGGTCTATTGTAAAATCAGGATTAACAAGAAAGCCTTATGACTGAAATTAAGTTCAGTAAACACCTGACAGAAATGTCCTGCAGTTCCCAGGCCTTAATGCAGTGTTGCCCTAAATGCTCAAATCTTTGAACAGAATAGGCCTCACAATCACTAAGTATATGTCCTGAAGTCTCCTCCTCAAGATGACAAAGCGAATTAGATTCAATACCCATGATGTATAGGTATCCTCTGAGGGTGCAGTATCCAGTAAGAAGACCAATGATCTTCCTCAAACTGTTCCTGTTTATCTTAAAAAGCTCTTTTTGACATGCATTAAGACAGTCACGATTTAGCTCTTTAGCTTGTCTTTGACTATCCAAGTTGCGCCATTGCTCAAGAGCAATTTTGCCATGGAGCTTGAATATAGATGCCCTAAATCAGTGTTTCCCAAACTTATGACTTTTGTGTACTCTTTCTAAATTTTTCGCAACTGTGTGTACCACTAATAAAAGAATTTTACTATAAAAAATTACACGAAAGTTAAAAATCACAACCGGCTGTTGAAACCACTAATTATTAACTGTTAACTCTGCAAAATATAGCCAATAGAAAAATATGTAATCGTAAATTTTCATGGCTAGCTTTTTTTTTAAATAAAATATTTTGAAATTTTCGTTTGTTGCAAGATAATTCGCATAAGAACGCGTACCCCCGCTAAACTGTTCCCGTACCCCTTGGGGTACGCGTACCACACTTTGGGAAACACTGCCCTAAATGATGTGGCAGAAACTATCAAGGCTGGTTCTGGTTCTCAGAATATTTCACTAGAACCAGCTCAGCAAGAACTTAAAAATTTATTTTTCATTAAAGGAATTTGTGTGTATTAGATAATTAAAATAATTTTGTAAACAGTACATGTTTTACGTGAAATTCTTATGAAATTCAATCGTAATTTTTCTTAATTATGAACTCTTCTCTATTGAAATTCATTCCAATGCAAAACATTATTTTAAAACTTTTCAGAATGGCTTCAGTCAAAAGGAAGTCGTAGAGATTTCGAACACCTCGATGCTGTCAGCCTGGCGGGAATACTGGAGGAATTCTATGAGAACCTGACAAAACCTGATGGGGAAGAATACAGTGTCAGCACCATGCACACAATTCGAGCCAGTATCAGTCGTTACTTAACTCTGCCGCCACAGAGCAAACCTTTTAGTATTATCCGAGACAGAGAGTTCAAACGAGCAAACGAGGCCTTTTATCGCCGTATCCGCCGCTTGCAGAATCCGCGTCAACAACCTGCCTTCCATTATGCAACGGGAAGGACTGCCCTTTGGCAGCCCCACCCTCTTAGCCACCCTTCCCCCCTCACTATACCTTGCAACAGTAATGGTATCATGCTAGTCCAGTTGGGCCCACAATAAAGAGAGTAGCTCATGGTTGAAGTGTGCTTAGCACAGATTCACTTATTATAAAGGTTCATTAGTCCGATGATGGAGAGTTTTAAAAATATAAATTTGTGTCGCCCCCGGTGAAAAAAAGTTATTATCTTAGCAGATGTCTGTTTAAACTTTATTTTTATACTGGAGATCTCATAACTCTGTGTAGAATATTTGTTTTTTATGTGCAAATGGAGACTGTTGCATTATAACAAAAAAGCCTTTTTTTCTTTGCAAGTCTTTCCTCCAGTTCTTGTATTGTTGAGTCCTGCCTACAGGCAGCTATAGTTATGCATGATTTTAGTGTATGTGTTTTATATTTATTCTAAATATTTGCGTCACAAAATTCAATCGATTTCTCTGTCTGTTTTATGTTTCACTGGTGTTATGTCTGCTGATGCTTTTTAATACTGAAATCATGCCAGTATACTCGAGCAATACAAAGCCTTCTAGAAATTTTTGCCTTTTAATAATAAATCTGATGTGCGTGAAACTATTTTAATAAATTGATGTTCTCTTCTTTTGGTAATAAATACTTACCTGTGCATGCTGTTGTTAAAAGCAATAAGATGAAGTATTTTTAACACAACGAAATTTGATTATTTTCTTTGTCTATTTTTTAAATTGAATAAAAAATAGCTATACAGCATTTGTACGCTGAATTGTTCAGGGATAGTTGTGAAAATACATACCGGTTACGAGATTGAAAAAAAAAAATTTCACGTTAAATCTGTGGCTGTGCATTTTTAATTTATGACAGTATTAGTTGCAGTTGAATGTAGTTCATATTTATACTCTACTTTGTTAGAGGGCAAAGAGAGAAAGAGAGAGCTTTTTTTACATCATCAGCTTTAAAATGTTATGTTGATTTATTTTTTGTGTGTCTTTTCTTTCTGAATTAGTTTGTTGTATGTGAAATATTTATTGTTAGTATAGAAATCTAATGCAAAATTATAACTTTTATCAGTTTAATGTTGCTAGTCAAATAATCATGATATATGTGTGATTTCTTTTTATGTTCAATCAAACTTTTAAATGGAGATATCAAGAGTTGATGAATTTAAAGCAGAAAATGTATGAAATTGGAACAGAAAGAGATAATTTTTTTTTTCTTGTTGACAGTGGGTGGCTTCTTTCTCAATGAAGGCCTACCTTTTTTTGAAAAAGAACATTTTTTCTAACAAGTTTTCATCTATGTATATATAGTCTTGCAGCAATAATTACTAACCCATCAAGAGGTAAACATTTTGTTTTAAACAAAATATATCTTCGGTGCCTACTTAGCAGATGTTTTAAGTTAGGACTGTCACTCCATAAGGAATTTAAAAGTCACGTAAAATAACCGGGATCATGCAGGGAATTTTGTTTCTTATTTTTGTCTTTTAAAAACTACTGCCCACTCAAAGTGCATTCTATGGGATATTTAAGGTTGATATTTCTGCTATACTGAACTATATCATTTACTGTATCATTATTTCTTTTAAGTAGAAAACTAGCATAGCTGGACTAATGTATGTCACTTTGAACACCATTTTGAAAACACCAGTGCTGTGCCCAAGATTATTTTGAGCATGAGAGTTAAAAGTGCATATCTTTTGAAAATGGCCCTGGAACAAAATTAATTAGTGAACAGTAGCTAACATTTTAAGCACACTAAGCATTTTCACTGACTATAATGAAGATCAGGCATAAAATAACGTCAATTTCAAATCTGCCACCATACAAGCTATATAACTATATCCATGACTATATAACAATTTACTATAATTGTTGTTTTGTCCTTTAGTCCTTTTTTTTTTAAGGAAAAATTTATTAAATGTGCTACATTGTTTAGCTGTAGTTATGTTCAAAATCCTGGGATGAATAATTTTCTGAATTTTTTGAATTTTATAACTCCATTTGACTTAAATTTTTCATGTGTGTGTTTTTTTTATATATATAAAAAAATACTATTTGAAATGTATAAAAATATATGAGACTAGTTAGTTGTTTTAATTTTAGTCTTTTTCTGCCATATATTCTTGATATCTCCGTTTAATCTTATAAATGACAGTCATCTCTCAATTGTACATATTTTTTTTTATTTTACTGAAAATATTGTTTTGTAGTCAATATTGACAGTTAAGATGCTTTTGACCATTATTATTTTAACTTATCGAAAAGCATTTATTATATTCTTTAATTTAAAAATACTCATAAACTTTTATTATAATGCTCTTGCCTTGAAAGGGAGATTTTGTTGCTAATCTTTCTTTTTCAGTTTGCTCTATTTTAGATAGCTTTAAAACTATTTATTGATTGCTTTAATCCTCCAAGCATTGAGCATTCGCTGGGTAAATATTTCCCATTGAATAACACGAGGGAAACCAGTAAAACTGGCACCTGCGAGTTCGGTAAAAGCCGGGACTGACGCTCAGGGGGTTAAATATTTTCGAAATAATTGTAGAAAAGAAAATGTGATGTTTGTTTGTGTGAAAAAATGCATAACTGATATGTTATCTGAACTACAAACCTCTTAGTGCAATATTGTATGTTTAATGATATGGTTTCAAACAAAATAATCGTATTTCTAAGAATATTTTGTTAGATATATTGTGATTGTAACTGATTTATCTTCTTATACAGTTAGAAAATTTATAATCAAGTGTTTATTGCTAGAAGATTTTTATTTTAGTTGCTGAATTAGTTGTATTAATATATACAGTAGACTCTCCGCAGAGCTTGAATTTTCGCGGATCATTTATTTAATAGAATTTATCATTTTTTTTCATTGCGATTTCTATTTACGTAAACTGCCCAAGGCATTTTATTCCTTATAAAATCTGGAAAATCAAGTATAATGTATTGAATTAGATTTTTTAGCATCTTAAATGTACAAGATAGTGTTTAACAATGCAGCATGTTACAAATATTAATTTTTCATATGTTTTTATGCTGTAATTCCTTGCTATAAAAAAAACAAAAAAAAATTTATTCTTTAATAAATGCAAACCTTTTTTTTTCCCCTTAAGCTAAACCTTGCGGAAAAATAGATAGTGAAAAAGTGTTTTGGACTGAGCTTAAGGCATATTTCTTATTAATGTTTTACATTAACTTATTTTCTATTCATATGCATAGCTGCCAACTCTACTGGATTTACTAGTAGACTGGATTTATACTGGAATTCTCCTGGTTTTTGTACATTTTAGAATATTCCATACAATTGAGTATGTTTCCTAAAAAAATCCCTATTGATATAGAATTTATAGACAATTTATTGCTTGCTTGAATATTTTATTAGGTATTACTAATACACATTATAATACTAATAATATTACTAACCAAGTCTTATTTATAATAACCATTTTAAAGCTTTTATTTTTTGTTCTGAAATTTTTAGTCCTGTTCTAAAAAAAAAAATTTAACCATCTTTTTTAATCTTTTAACCACCAATAATAAATTACTTGTCTATTACTTTTAAAAATTATGAGTTAGCATTAAAAAAAAATTTAAAATTCAAGATCATTTTATGTCGATAATAAATGAAGAATATTGCAGACCATTTATAGTTTATTAATGTCATAAATTTTTGTATTTTGATGACAACAAAAATCTCTAAAATTCCCTATATGTAAAATGTTTAGCATATTATGCAACAGTTATCACTAAATTTATAATATTTCTTAAAATCTGCTGGATTTTTCCCTATGCATGTTGGCAAGTATGCATATGATATACTACTAAAAATAATAATAAAATTTGCATTTAGCTATCTTATTAAAAATTAGGCTATGTTTTTCTCATAGTGAGGCATCCTTTTAACAGATTTTAAATTGAAACTATTTCACTGATCACGTAATCGAATAAAAGAATGCTCAAAGCACTTTTTCCTCTTTAATATAGAAGCAAATATATAAGTATTTCTCTTCAATAGTTTCAGTGAAAAAGCTAGAAATACTTATGATAAATGAATTGAATTTTCCAAAAATTATAATGATAATTGCTTGCAGAATTTTTCTTTCTAAATTATATTAGCCCCTAAAATCCTATTAATAAGTCCCACAATGCAGAGATGATTGTGTCGCGGCAAAAGTTCCAAATTTTTTGCTAGTCGGAAATCTAGGATTCAGAAACTTCAAGAAATCATAGATCACATTTACAAGAATTCATAGATATAAAAATTCTTGTCTATTTTATTTAAAAATATTCGTACTGGAATATGTACTTGGCATCTCTTTCATTTGTAAATGTTTTTTTCTGGTAGAATAATAAATGTGATTAGAGGTGAAAGTAAACTTATACAGAATTATTCATTTAAATTATGCTGCATATAATTTATTTAGAATTTCGTGTTTTGAAATTAAATTTATGAAGACATTAATTTTTTTGAAATGCGTCATTACTGATTTTACTCAAGGAATTTTCAGGATTTTTGAGTTGGGCTCACAATCACCCCTAACAATGTATATACCATTATAAGTTAAAGATTAAATCAATTTTAAATGAAATTCGTTAAATCAAGAGTGAAATATCAAAGCTAAAATTTTGTTAACTCTTGCCTAGCCTCTGAAATCAGTTGGCAGCTATGTTACAGTAATATAATATCCTTTTTTTTTTTAAATTTAAATTTCATTTATAATTTAGCTATATGAACTACAAAATGTCCTCAATATTAAACTGTCATATTGTTTCTTAGGAATTTCACTTTAACCACCTATTAATTATTTTTAAGTGGATTAGAGAAGTGAAATTTTTGAGAGTCTACTGTGTATGTATTTGTTAATGTGTACATATTAACACATTATAGCATTACTTCTATTAAAAGAAGAAAAAAAAGACAGCAAGTAATTATAATATTTTCTTTGGGCTAAATTTTTAATTTTAAAAAATCCACCGTGAATGGTTAAAAGATTTTGTAGTGAGTATGATAACTCGATTTCAAGGTACATTTTAAGAAATTTTAAAATTCTATTGATTTGTGTTAAAAAATAAGCAATTATTGAAATGTGGCAATATGTTTTTGTTTCAAATTTATAATACTTATTTATTTTGTTAAAATCTAGTTTTTGTTGAATGTGACTTCATTATTTTCTTTTTTTTAAAAAAAAAAAATATGTCTTTTGCTTTGTTCCTTTTTATATTAAATTATAACTCAGATCAGTTTTGTTTTACTTTGTTTGTTCTGTTTATTCTTTTCAGCATTTTGTTTCATTATTAGTTTTTTTTTTTTGTTTTGTTTTTTTTCTTATCTATTAATTCAAAACATTTTAATTATTAATATTAGATTTATCAAAAATTAATATTATTCCATAGCATGTCTTTTTTGCTTCCTTGCAATATCAAATCTGAAGAACAAAACGTTAATTGTAATAATGCTTAATACTATAGTTATAGTAATAATAATTGCGTATTTAATCATTCCAAAAATCAGCTTCAATTCCCTTTCATTTATTCATTTTAGGATGGCTGTTAAATCTGTTGCTTCAAGGCTAAGGTTCTGTGTATTTTTGAAAAGAGAAAAAACTTTATCCCCTGTTTTACATTTAGATTTAAATTTGTGTTTTCACTTTTAAAATAGTTTTTAAATTACTTTGGGATTTACTTGATATTATACTTGAAGTTTACAACAGTGTAAAAGCAAACTATTACTAGACTACTATTCCAATGAATATGCATAGGGGAACAAGTCTAGCTTTCATATAGACATAATGTAAACCGGTGACTCAGGTTGTTGACGGGCCTTGTATATAAAGGAAAAAGCAGCATTTAAGGGTACAGCAGCAAAGAATCTTGAAACGGGCTTGCATCCACCTCTTCCCCTAACCCCTACTGGGAGGGGGGAGAAGAAATGTTTTCCGGGGTTGCCACCTCACAGGGAGAACCTGGAAAATTAAAGGAATTTAAAATTACAGGGAATTTTGTTTCTTATTTTCGTCTCAAAAATTTCGTCCCAAAGTGCAATCTATGGGATATTTCAGCTATATTAAGCTAGTTCATTTACTTTAGCATTATTTGTTTTAAGTACAGTTGGACCTCTAATTAACAAAGTCGCTAAATCTCGATATAAAGTTCGTTATATGGAAATTTCGTTAATTACCGAAAAATAGAAAATTACTATTTGA